TGTTTGTGATGACCAGCTTGTTCTCTTGACAAAACTCTATTAGCCTTTGCCATGGTTTGTTTTGAACTCCAAGGCCAAACTTACTTGTTGTTCCTTTTATTTTAGCCAAAGGTAGATCCCACTAAAATTAGTGAGACTTGTTTATCAATAACAATTGTTGGTACGGTTTTATAATCATACAATTGTCACTTCTTCTCTTTCTTCCCTGCTTAGCAGAAGCTTTTTAACAGCTTTTTAACAGCTTCACTAATTTCATGAGCAGAAATTCTACAGACACAAGTTTCTGCAGGAAATGTAGCTCTGTGCACATAAAAGCTCTGCATTTTTAATTTCTGGACAACAATGCAACTGTCAAAATCTTAAAGCATCTTTCAAGAAGGGGACTAGCAACCCTATGTTTTAGCTTCCGTTAGCTTTCACAAGCTCTTTCTGTTCATAGAAGCTTGTAGATTCTAGTTGCCGCCAGCTCTTTAATAAATGCTGTACTAAAAGTGTATGAAAAAGAGACATAAAGGGTAAAGAAAATGAAGTTTCATCACTGACTCTTTTGAATAGCCAGTGTTCTCCTGCTGATTCATTCCTAATTAGTTTACTGGGTATAATCTCACACAGTCCTCTATAAGCTTTCTCCAAGATGGTGGAACACCCCTTCCTGTGTTGACTGAGGACATTTGTGCAGCCTCATAGTCTGGCAAAACTTTGTTTTTAGTTCCTTAAGGCAGTTACTCCTAAAAGGACTTCTTCAACTTCCTCCATCTACATTTTTTTTTAAAAAAATACCCTCTATTTGCTTTAACATAATTAAGACATAGTACAAAAACAGCATAGAAGTATATTAATTATTGTCAAGGGGGAACTTAACTCATCAAAGTCACCTTAAAACACCAGCCCTTCCATCAGGAAGAGGCCATTGTGTCCCTCTCTGGGTGATTTGGGGCTACAGCACCTATCCAAACCAGGCTGCATAGCCAAAGGTAAGAGATGCTTCTGCCCAACAATAATTAGATGGCTACCGTTGCCTTCCCCACCTGTCTTTCATACTGCAATAAACTTAGCAGGCATGTTTAAGGAAGAGCAGATATTATGGAAGATTGAATTGTCATGGAGAGATGTGAAAGGAACGTGAAAACAGCATGAGTGATGTGAGTTGTGATTTTCTGGGAAAGATTATTACAACAGGTTTCAATTTACAGTATTTCAATCATTCCATTTTCCCAGAGAACCAGAGGAATAATTGATGGGATGCCACCAGGACAAAAGGAAATGAAATAAATTGCCAGTGTCTCATAAAAACATAATTCCCAGAACTGAGAGATAGGAGCCAGAACTACTGAAATGGTAAAGACCAAAGTAAATTTGTTAACAACTGCAACATTATCTTCAAATACTAGAAAACTGAGGTCAGTGGCAGCAGACAGCGGCTGAAATCCTATTGTGCAGTTATGCAAACGGCTTAACTTTTAGAAGTGAACTGCTGTAAGTTAAGAAATCTCTGCAGACATTAACTGTTGCATGCTGACTTGCACAACTCAGTATGTAACAAACAACATCTATAGAAATGTCTCAATTTGCAATTCACTTCAAAAAGCTACATTGTTTGGGTAACTGCACAACAGTATTTCAGCCAATATACAAGTACTGAATTCAGCTTCCCTGATGATTGCACCAATCCCTCATTTTGGATGGCATTACAATTTGGAGTGTTCAAAGTCTGAGTTTCAGTTGCCTCCTTACCTCTCTCTCTCGGGGAATTGTATCTCCTTTTATCATTATTTTTATTTATAGTAAAATAATTTAATAAAACATTATTTTAAATAAAATGATCATTTAAATAATTTAAATATACTGTACATAGGCACCCTTCAGTCTCGAGAGACTATGGTAACATGCTCTGAATCGAGGAGTGTCCTCCCCAGAGCATGAAGCCTGGCTAAATATGGAGGATAGGCTGTTACCCAAGCACCAGATCCCCCCTCTCCACGGTGCTGAAATGGTCCAGTAGAAAGGCATGAGCCAATACAACTGGTTCCAGCAACGTCGCAGGAGTTGGCAGAACGACACGAACTGCCTTCAGGACTCCAGCTCCCCTACGCTAACTCCTGAAGCCTTTTCCATGAGTGGATATAGCCACAAGGCAGTGGAAGTTTGAAATCGGAGTTTTCCTTCTCCTAGATGGGCTGCCTTCCATGGCTGATGAGCTCCACCTACCCGGCCTGCTCTTTAATAGTGCAGAAGTATGGTCCGACCCTTAAAACTTTCCTGTCTCCCAGGTGTATGCAAATCTACTTGGCTTTCCTATTTACCATATTAGGGCCAGAGATAGAATCAGAGAATTTGAGAATTTCTGGGACACGCTCATTTAAAGTAGAAAGCCCCACCCCCAGGCCATGTGGTGGTGGGGAGACAAAAAGAAAGCCCAGGGAAAAAACTCCTCAGCAAAATGTCCATGCAGACATACCTGACCTTCAGGTTCACCCAGCTTTCTAGGGGGAAAGGCCTAGGGTCCTGGGACACACTCATTTAAGGTAGAAAGCCCCACCCCCAGGCCATGTGGTGGTGGGGAGACAAGATGGAAATGGTATCACAGCCTGTAAACTTTCTGGAAACATTTTTCAGTTTCTTAGGCAGGATTTACTTTTTTTCAGACCTTTCATAGTTTAATGAAGAGCTTTTAATTTCTAAGGGTCTCTTTTTCTTCTGGAGCTCAGGTGAAAACTACAGCTCCTGCATTTGCTCCCAGAGACTTTTAAGGGGCAGTATCCAACATGCTTACTTAGACAGGTAATGTTAAGAATCAGGCTATGAAGGCCAACAATCTTGACTCAGTAAAAGTTAAGTCCTTGGAGCAATCACTCTAACCTACCTTACAAGACAGACCGGTACAAAGGGGAAGGGAACCCATGTACACTGCTTTTCAAGAAAGTGAGAAACTAATTTAATAGATTCTGCATACATGTTCATATGTCTGAGATGTGTATTGTTGCTCTATTTGAAATTATACCATGTTCTAAGGTAAGGCTGAAGAACCTATGGGCCTCCAGATGTGGCTGGACTCCACTTTGTATCTGCCCTTACAAATCTGATAAATAGTTATGGATGGTATTTTCCTAATCAACAACTCTTTGTTATCAGAGCTGCCTATCATGGAAGCACTGTTAAGTGTATTCAGTGGAAGGTGTTACAGCGGAACTTTTTGCTGATAATGCCAAGGGTTGCCGGTCCTCTGGATGTAGTAGAGAAGGCAGGGGTTATCTGTATCATCACATTGCCAACAACCTTTGAACTTTGCACACTTTCATGTTCAGCACCCGGGCTTTTGTCAAATGTTTTCCCTTAATCAATGAAACAAGGACATATGTGGCTCCAGCTTGGGAAACTCATGGAGCCACTAATAAACAAAAGTCTTGAATCAAGAGGTATTTGTATGGTTGGAAATCTACTGCCAGCAAAAGCTGCTGTGAAAGCTGGAGTTCAGGTGACAGAAGACACAGAGATACAAAGAGTACAACAGGAGGCGTACTCTCTGCCCATTTCAATTTGTACTCTAAGAACACCTTTAGAAAAGCACTTCTGATTCAGACGATAGCACTGTTGTCAATGAACAATGCCCTATATGTAGAAAATACAATAACAGGCTAACTGTTTAGATGGTTTTACAAATACAGTACTACTCAATAAAGTCAATTAAGAAAGTGGCGAGTATGACTTATAAGTGAGAGAAAGGTGGCCTAGAAATGAAACAAACAAATATTAACAACTGTTAAGAAATGCAAGTTCATAGTAATCCAAAGAAAGCAAGCAGCCTTAAAGTGCAGTTTATCATAAAAAATGCAAGTATGGTATGTTGACAGAAATATATTTCTTGACATTAAATGAGCTGTGGAGTGCAATAGAAATCAGAACAGAGATGGCCCAGAACAATTCCTTTAAGCCTTCCTTTAAGAACCCAATATGCCACAAAAATTAAACTTTGGCATTGAGAATGTGCCTTATACAATGTTATTTTCAATTCTCTTATATAGCATAGAATCACAGGTTTTACACAGGCTCCTATGCAAATATAGGATATTTATTGAAACATACTGATAATTTCTGTAGAGTTGTGGTGTAATAGATAGAATATTGGACTCAGGAGGCTTGATTCAAATCCTTGCGAAGCCATGGAAACCCAGATGTGCCTGGCAATAGTAAACCTCTTCTTCAACATTTCACATAACTTGAAAATCCTATTAGGGTTGCAAAACAAAACAACACAAAGAAAGAATCAAATCAAAACCTTCAGATATCTCTGCTCAGCTTTAGCTATCTGTTTTGTGGCAATGATGTATTAGACGTTCACTGTATTGCTATGATAAGGCACACCCATGTGGCAAGACTGGAGTTTACTTTTTCTGAGACCAGTACTTAAGAAAAAGCTATGTGACAATGCTACAGCATCAATCATCGCCTCAGAACAGTCATCTCTAAGACTCAGCCATGACTCCGCACCAAATCTTCTCAGGATTCTATGTTATAATAAGCAGGAACCTCATGTTGCAATTGTTAAACTGTAGTACTGCAGCCAAAACTCTGCTCGCAACCTGGGTTCGATCCCAGTTTGCCAGCTTAAGGTTCACTCAGCCTTCTAATGTCAAGGTTCACTCAGCCTTCCAATGTCAGTGCGGGGGGGGGGGGATATGTAACCTGCATATTTAAATTATAAACCACCCAGAGAGTGCTTTAAGCACTACGAAGTGGTATGAAAGCAGTATGTTTTACTCTTTTTTTGGCGGGGGGAGGAAAAAAAAAACAATAATCATCTTATATTTTACAAGAGCACTTCAGGAGCAACAATTAATTAAAATGCTTTCCTTCTTATACCCACCACACTTCCCTACCCACCTTCAAAATAAGGAATACCATATATTTCTTTCAGGTACATTGTATCAAAGAGTCCTAACAGATGGCAGAACAAGCCTTAAGGAAGAAAACACAACTGAGGAACGGCTGACAGCATGAAATCCTATCTCCTTGATGTCTTTATTTAGCATTTAAATTCTTTTTATTCCAACAATGCAAATATGTAAGCACAGGAGGAAACTATTAAGTAGCACATATATGCCCATGGCTGCTTATAGTTAATTACATTCCCCAAGCAATGAAAAAAATAACACATGAAAAGCATCCTTCTAGGAAACAGAAGCAGAAGGATGAATTTCACTGCAAAGAATCATAGAAGGCAGCTTTCTGCTTTAAGACATAGCAGCCAGCCTGTGAAAGTGCTAGAGATAATTATCCACAGCTTTTGCCCTTTCTTTTATAAAATATTGCCATTTCCTCACTATAATTTAAACACCGCTTCATTTTGTTATCTACAGCATAGATATATAAAATATAAACTCTGTTTTATCACACTTTTGTTTGATAAATAGTTTTTAAAATATCTACTGTACATACAATGCCCATGCACTGATACTTTAGATATATAGTTTGCTTCTTTCTGCTTTTCTCTATATATATGCTTGTAAACCACAATAAATACTTATTTAAATATAGCAATAAATTGACACTTGGGTTTTTAAAAGGTTAAAAAGGAGCAAGGTAAAACCAAGGCATCATTCAAGAACCAGATAAAGTAAGGAACAGCAGTTGAGTCATGGGTAGATGATGCTTAATTCTACATGTACAAATCAAATTAGACATTTCTCTTTCTCCCTTTTTAAAAACCATGATACCATCCTCACTGATTAATGTAGGAGAATGGCAGGAAAAACAGATACTTCACTTGACTAGATGTGCCTCAAATAATAGGATGACACTGGGTTTCTTTTTTTCAAAACTGAAAATGTGTAAATTATACAATAAATATTATAGTCCTCTTCAAGTGCTTTTCAGAAGGCGGTGACTGGCGTCATATTCGATGACCTATATTCAAGTGGTATAAAAGATATCCAAGCTGTAAGTGTGTCAATTTTCAAACATATTGAAATTTCCACCCCTGACTAATTCTTCCGCTCCTAACCTGCTATCCCAAATGGCATGCTTCTCTCTGGCAGGTGAACAGGTAGCAGTGTTGCGTATGGGTGTGTGCATCAGGGCGTGCTCAAGATATTTTTCTGCCTGAGGAAAGAATGAAACAGTGCCCCACTTGTATTCTACACAGACAGTGAGCTGAATCTTGTTTCATTAAGGGAAAAAGGACAGCATGATCAGCTTCACCATAAGGCAGCATACTTGCTGACAGTCTAGTTGTATAGAATATATAGCTGTACAGTATCTTTCAACACCTTACCCATGGGCCAGTGCTCCACAGCACTTGTCTGAGATAGCTACCTCACCCTGTGTAATGGTAGGGATGGCTCCAGTGTGCATCCTATATCTGTGCACAAGAATCTGGGTATCAAGGCAGAGAGATAGAAAGGGTAATTTTGACAAGAGGATTGCCATCTTTACTTTTCCTAGTTCTGTTCTATATATAACCCCCACCTGCTCAGAATGTGGGTAGGCTTTATGAGTCTGAGGGATGAAAAAAAAGAGGAAGCAGAACTCATATGGTTGGTCAAAGACATTGATTCAAAAGAGATCAATGAATGACCAAGAATTCCAGGAATAAGAGGATTTGTTTAACTAGTTGCAGAGAACACAAAGTGGCCTGAGTGCTTTTAAACTCAGGCAGATATTAAAAGGAAAAGTAAATGACTTTCCACTGGGGAGAGTCTCCAGTTGAACTTTTCTGTGCAAGTGCAGAGCTTGGAAATGTAACTTTTTGGACAGCAACTCCTGGGACCATTCAGTCAGCCTGCTGGTTGGGTGATTCTGAGAGATTAAGTCCAAACAAGTAACATTTTCAAGCTCATGTTCATGTCAACTGAGCAACAAAGCACTGATCTTGGGGAATATGCTTTTAACATCCTTTGGGTTGCACTGTGCCCAGGTTTTCAAACAGATCTTCTGGCAAATGTTAACTGCTGCTTTTTCTACTGTTTGTGCTGGTTTTACTGTTTGCTTATTGTTTATATATTACAGTTTTTATTCTGCATTTATTTTACTATTTATTCAAGTGCCTTTTTTAAAACTGAAAGAGATCATTCAAGTTTCTAGCTGAATAAATAAGTAATAAAATAATTTATTGCATAATCTGAAAACAAAACCAGTTGATACTAAGTGCTATTTCTTTTTAAAAGAACCGATACATTTTTGAATGAACAAAAAGTACAGGTGTAATGGTCATAAAAACATACTAGATGACACTGACAACTAAACCGGATGCCCATTATAACTGAGTTGCCCCGGTAACATGCAGTACTCTAATTTTAGTTACTGTTATTCAAAATCTGGAAAAGTAAAATTTTGGACAACAATCTGTAGAAGACCCCAGCATTGGCTACGCTGGCTGTGGGATTTTGGATTGTGGTCCAAAGAATATTGCATTTCCAAGCTCTACTGTCATTCAAGGCCTTCTTTTGAAAGAGAAGGATGCTTCTGACTGATTAGAGTTCTTTTTAGTTATAAGCTTTTGCATTATTGTTGAGCGGGGGGGCGGAGGATAAGAGCTGCACAAAGTGCTATTCTATATGCACTGGAACGGTCTCTATACAGTATATGCATCTGACATGCTGCCAGTAAATACTACCACAAAGGAAATACTCAAGCTGTAGCACTGTGGTATTATTTAGCATTTGCGCCTCTAAAGCTCCATCCTGCTTTAGAAGTACAGTAATTCACAATGCTCTGATTTTTTTCTTACATTCCTGAGATCCAGCTAGACTAAACAAGGTTCAAGCCCATATCATTCAGATAACCTTGCATTGTTCTATAGCTGGGGGGAAACCATGCCCCTCATTCCCCCCCCCCCAGTATTTTATCTCATTAAGTGAATCAGTTAACTTTGTGTGTTGCAGAGTAGGACTATATCAGGATATTAGTTTCTGGCATTCTCTTTTACTAATGTATAATCTGACCCATGAGAATCTTTCTTATGTCTTTTTGTCTCTGCCATTACTCCATACTTTATTATTATCCAGTGAAATCCAATGGTGACTAAAGGTCAAATCAGACTATAAAGATAGCACATCATTACTGAGCAGCATTGAGCAGGGGGTTGGACTTGATGGCCTTGTAGGCCCCAGATGTTTTGAACTTCTGTCACCACTTGTCATGGTGCTTGCTGATGATAGGGATTGTCATGCAGTACATCAGGAGGACACGATGTTAGGGAAGGCTGGACTAGGCTATTTAAAATCATGTCCCATTTTCAATGGTGACTTAAACATGGCATTTTTTAAAATTCTAGCAAGCACTCACATGTTTGCTACATACATAAAATCCCTACAGTAGAAATCTCAAACCTCTAGGAGCAAAGATAATAATATGACACCTTTGATTCCCCTTACACTGTCACAGGTTCATCCTTTTAACAGGAGAGAGAAAAGCTTTCAATAAACGCTTAACAAACTCTTACATTTGACATGCTTTCTCAAACCTGAGGAAGCATGATAAAACTTTCACAGGGGTTCACCAGTATAATTACTGGCCTACCTGTGTAATTAGGAAATGAAATGGAACTGCAATAAAAATAATATTAGAACAGCTGCCAAAAATGGCTGTCATGAAAAGATTCCCCATATAACTTCATAACAATCTTAAGACACACAGAAAGCATCATTCATGGCATCTCAAGCAGCCTTTGGCCAAATTATACTTTTGTTTCTGCCTAAAACATGTTAGTTTTGGTTAAACGTGTTCCATGGAATTGTTCGAGTTTAATACCTGAAGACAAAATCCAAATCAGCCCTGCGCTATCTGAAAAATTAAGAAATGTATAACAGCATGGATTACTGAAGACTATTTGTATACTTTGTTAGATGGCCTTATTTGTGCACCTAAGGAAGTAAGCTTCACTTTATGAAAGTTGATGCTCCAATAGATTTGTTAGACTTTAAAGGTGTCAAAAGACTCATAACTGGTTTACTGATGAAATGCAACTATTAGTTCAGCTACTTCTCTGGTTCTGACAGGGAAAATGAAGATAGTTTTTGCATATTCCTAGTTTCTCAAAAGGTCTTTGTGTTCAGTACTGAAGCCTAGCATTAACATATTGAATCTTAAATGAAACACAAGACTATTTTGGACTACCCTGTTAACCTACTTTTTGGAATACAACTCCCACAATTCTCAGCATTGTCAGCATCGTCACTGGCCATGTTTGCTGGGGAATTCTGGGAGCTGTAGTCCAACACATTTTCCCAAGCTCTGGGGTGTATTTTGAAAACCATATATGCTCTGACTTTTATTGTTTTGAAAGAACAGTCCAGAAACAACTCAAACTGCCGATTTTTCAGGGCCCATGACCTATTCATGCCAATTGTTTTGATTCCACCTATGATCTGATGCAAATGCAATGGGTTTCTGATTATAACAGGATCAGAGGTGCATGCTCTTATCAGCAGGGTTGCCAAGAAGTGTTCGTATCAGAAACCACCTGCTGCTGTGTTTGCCACAAGGGGCTTTGTGACATATCAGCATCTTTGCAACCTGCTGGGTGGTGAGTAATACCCAACTGGACCCTTTCGAATCTTTTCCCCCCACAGTAAACATAGCTGAATCAACTGTGCACCTGCAGGTTGCAAATTAATGATATTTCACGTTCCTGCAATAATATTTCTGTAAACAGCAAATGCAAGTTCCTCTTTTAAAGAGGCCTTGGGCAACAATTTTTCACAAGCAATTCAAATGCATCTAATATTTCAGCACCAGCTAGGCAATGAGGATTATCTCTCTATATATTATATCCCTTGTCCAAGGCCTGCCAGACAAAGCAGGACAAGTTTTCTTGTTATGGCATAGATTTGCTCTTCTTTTTCTTTCTTTCTTTTTATTTTTTTGAGACACGATCAGAGAAAGCTAGCAGTACAGGGACATTCTGCTCCTGCGCATTGCTTCACTGATCAAGTAAGCAGGGCTTAGTTCTGGTTCCTCAGTCATAATCACAATATTCTGCCATTCACCCAGTTGGTTTGATTTCTTAATGGTGTCCACTACACATAAAGCATACAGACAGTCATCAAAAGTGGCAGCCATTGTGAGTGGTCGCCCATCCCAGGTTCGGCGGTCATCCTGATCTTCAAATGCCTCCCGGACAGCTTGTACCATCTTTATAGTTCCTCGGAGATAAGGGGATGGGATGTCGCTGAAGGCCTTATCTGGTAACAAAGCATTACTGACTGGTGTGGAATCTTTCAAAAGGAGTTCCTTTTGAGGCGAGTTATTGCTCTGTCCGTATAAATCGGTGCCTACTACCGTCAGTCGCCCGCTGGAACCCACAACAACAATATCCTGCTTAAATTCCCCGGGCACATTGAAGTTAAGGGTGACAGTGCAACACACGCCACCTTCCAAGACCATCTGAAAAGTACAAAAGTCATCACTTGTGATTTGGCGTATCCCCTTGATGTGGTCCGTCTGTTTCACAAAGGTCTTCAGCAGCCCATGGACTTTCACAGCCTTTTGGCTGGTAAGGAAGGTCAAGAGGTCAATAATGTAGGTGCCAACCGAGTGCAGTCCCCCACCTCCCATCAAGTCATCACAGCTCCAGTTGTACTTCTTCCCCAATAGGCTCCCACTGTGGACCTGTACCTCGCAAACCAGCAGCTCCCCAACGTAACCCTCCTGGATCAGTTGCTTCATCTTCACAAAGGCAGGTAGGAAACGGAGGACATTGCCCATGATGCTCATGAGCTTGGGATAGTAATGGGCAGCAGTCATCATCCTAAAGGCATCCAGTGGAGTGGCTGTTCGGTCACAAATGACATTCTTCCCAATCCCTGCCAGATAAGAAAGAAAGAGTATTATGAGGCTGGAGCATTTCATGATCCTCAATACCAATGTAATAATACAGAGAAATTGCAAAAGGGGAAATTCTGTTGAACAAAAAATTCATAAAGAGTATATCCTTCACCTACAATCTTTGTTTCTGCCCGGTATGTAATCTCTTTTTGTTTCACTTAAACTGAATGTGTGAAGAACAGAATTCAGAATTTCTGACTTGCCCAATGAAAACAATTATTTCTTACCTGACAAAAATATGGTCGCACCTGAAAAGGAAGGCTGTGAAACTAGAATTTTAAGACCAAAGCTCATTCCTCTAGTCCAAATCTCTGTTTTGCACAATATATTTTATTTTTAATGAATGTTCAATGAATGAACTGATTTTGTATAATACTAAAATTTAATGTAATCAATGCCTACATTGGCCTAAATTTTTATTATCCTGACAGAGTACCAAAAGCTCAGTCATACCCTAAAGAGGAACAGATATAATTTTAGACCTTGCAGCTCCTGCAGACAAATGATTTAACTCCAGGCAAAATCAACTAGGTTTTACATCTGGTGTATTAATTTACTGTAGTTCCTTGCACAATTCAGCTTTAAAGCAAAGCATATACCCCCCCCAACACATCCTGCTTAACTTTAAAAGAAGGTGTGCACTCTATACATAAATCTTACTGTAAAGTAAGTTTGCTTTTGACACTCCCATGCCAACAACAACGGCAGGATACAAGGAGGTTGCAGCCCTTTCAGCATGAAAGTTGCCCAGCTTTTGAACACTATTCTAGTGGGATTCCTCGGAAGCTCATGAAAAGGATTCCAGAATGAATGGATGAGAACTGGAAACTAACATTTTCCCCAAGAAATTAAGCCAAGCCACAGGCTGCATTCTCCCTTCAGTCTATAGTGGCAAACATGGAGCAAGGGTAGTAAGTACAGGTGTGCTTTTCTTTTTCTGGACTCCCAACTCCAGAAAATTCAGGGGTCTGTAGGTATGTGTCTGTGAGCTGGAACTTCCAGAATTATGCCTACGGAATTCTTCAAGAATTCTGGGGTTTGGTGCCCAAAAACCCCTGAAAGGTACACCCCCTTGTGGCGAGTGTCCTGTATGACCTGACCTTGTACCATGAAATCAGAATCTGGATGACTTACTTGTTTGGTGTGCAACTAACTCCCGAACACCACCACCTTCAGCACAGCCATATACAAACAAGGGGAGTCACTAATTTCCCATCCAAAAAAGTAAACTAAGTGTCAAAACAAAATATGCCTCAGGTACTTCTGCAGTGGGGTAAAGTTCAGGAGCTGATATAAAAAAAATCTTCTATAGAAACATCTGCCGAGGAGGAAATGTTCTCTGATGAGAGAATGTTTGAAAGGCCAGATATGGAACTAAAGGAATGCAGCATATTTCTGTGTATGTATATATACATCTCTCTCTCTCTCTCTCTCTCTCTCTCTGTATAAAATAACCAAATAACCTTTTTTAATCTACTACCACAGGCGTGTTTATTTTTTTTCTGAGCCTCTTCCTCAAATGTACAGATTGCCTCTGAACTATAGCCCCTCTGAACCTTTGTCACTAAAAATCTATCATTTCTCACTGTGTTGACTTGATTCATAGAACATTAGCTTTGTTTGACTTCACAAAATGAATTCATGTAGCTGACCTACATTCCTTTAATAGGTAAAGTTCCATCTGTACCTTCAGTTACAGAAATATTCAGCACAGATCAGTGATTTATTTAAGCAAGTATTTACTAAAAGAATATGTTGTCTCTGTAAGCCTCTAGAGTTAGCAGACAACCAGAAATGTAGAAATTCACATTTCAGATAAATAGCCAACAAACTTCCCTTAGCTGCAGTGCACATGCCAAACTTACTGCAGCCATGGAGACCATTTTATTGTGTTTCAGCATCATCTCTTCTTGCAGCCTCGCCAGTTTTCCCTCCACAAATGTCCTTCGGTTATTTCTTTCTATCAGGTACTGACACTGATCAAAATAGTAATCATTTCTCTTTCCATCACCAAGGTCTTCCTCCTTCAGCTCAAACCCAGGGATGGGCGACTTCTCCATCAACAATTCCCACTGGCCAATATGGTCCATGCTGAGGAATTATGGGAGTAGTAATTCAGAAATGTCTGGTGGGCCACGTTTACCCCCATCGTAGGAGCAACAGCTCTTCGGTTTCAAGAAACCACAAATTCTTTTGGAGTTGCAGCTCAAAGAAACTAGACAAGTATGCAAAAGACTGCTTGGACATAATTCCAGGTTGGTTACAGCCTTTCATCAAATTCCTATCAACACATGGAGGCCAGTGAGGGCAATGTCACATAACACCCCCAGATAGAAGTTCATAACAAATATATAGCGGTGGGTGTTTATGTATTTACAATGCATTTTAAGGCATATAATATCATTTGGGGGAAAGAACTGCTGGATAGCTCAGTGGGTTAGGTGTCTGGCTATGGAGCCACAGAGGTTGAGAGCTCAGTTCCCCAAAGTGCCTCCTTGACTGGGCTGGATTTGATTATCCATATAGGGTCCAGTCCCTTCCAGCTTTGCAATTCTAAAATAGTTATGATTATGATTATAAATATTGGATTATAGCAGGTTATCCACTGATGCAATCCTGAGGAATAATTCAGATTCTCATACAGTACTTGCACTGAGATAACAGCTTTCATTGGTGCCTACTCTGGCCCAACTCAGATCACTTTATTTATCCTCATCCTCCTTCAGTCCTTAGAATGGTCAGATTTTTTTTTGGACCAAAACTCTTAAAACTCTTAAAATTCTTGCTTATCTGCAGTCTAATCACACTTCAAAATCTGGGTTCTAAATGAAAAACATTTATATAACCTAGGACATTTTTCAACTGGAAAGAAAAGGCCCACAGTTTGGCTTTCAAGCATTCCTTACTATTTTGAAATACCCTGTTTCCCTGAAAATAAGACCTAGTATGATTTTTCCGGATGCTCATAATATAATCCCTACCCCAAAAATAAGCCCCAGTTAAGTGAAATCCTGCCCTCCACCATTGTGCAGCAACCAGAAGTAGATGACATGACTGTATTTTAATAAATGTAGATTGTTGTTCTACATGAAAAAAATCCCCTGAAAATAAGCCCTAATGCATTTTTGGAGCAAAAATTAATATAAGACCCTGTCTTAGTATTTTCAGGGAAACACAGTATGTCCAAGCTCCTGATGAGCAACGTTGGCTTGTATGCAATTTCTGTTAAGTCTTATAGCTCACAAATGCTCTGGATAAGAAACATGACTTCCATGTGTCTCATTCAAAGCATCAGACTTCCATGCAGAAAAAAAGGCCTATGTTGCTGCCTCCCATAAATTGTCCTAACTTTGCATTGTGTCACCACTTCACATCCCAAACAAGTAAACTATAATCTGTGGGTAAATGAGGATCAGAATTATTAAAGTGAAGGAAAACAAGATTGGATTTCCAAGCAATCAACATGCACATTTGATTGATACATTTGTTTCGCATTTCTCTGTCTTGAGATGTACCAGGCAATTAGATCATCCCTTTAGACAAGGAAGGTGACATAACAGCTGGATCTTAATTCACAATGGCATGCTACAAAGTAGCCTTCAGCAATACTCTACACACCAAGAAGCAAACAATGCAGCAAATCCTGCTCCTCTCTTCAACTTTTTAAAATTGTTCTTTTCTAAGCACATTTTGCAGCCATCTGCTTAAACAGCACAGCTTTTTCATGCCTCAGTTACTTGATAGTCTGCCAACTGGTTAGCTTAATTTGCTAGCAATAGGCCTACAGTTTGAGCATTCTGATTTTACAAACATTTGGAATTATGTAATTTGGGAACAATTATTGCTTTATCTTTATAGGGAAGAAAGGATGGCGAGTTGCTTTTCTTCCTAACTGAACAAGCTATTCTTAATGACCTGATTGTAAGGGCATTTTTACCAAAGCCAGGAAAGTTTTTAAAAAATATGGGTGTAATCAGAGGCATTTAACCTGCTGCAGGGATGGGTTGGTTAGCTCCTTTTTCTGGTGGTCATGTAACATATTGTGAAGTGGCTTAAGAAGACAGTCACTTCGGGATATCGGCAAATTAAACACTTCCTCTGGTCCTCCATGGATACACTGTATCACATTAAAAAAATAGAAAACCTCCTCCAGGAAGCAGGAAGAGACAGGAAAGGGCAATGAGGGGGATTTTTTTCTTTTCTTTAGCTTGTCTTAAAAGTCTGCTCAAGAACATGCTCAAACTCATAGTGGATTTTCTTTATTTCCCCTCCATTTTTGATAATGCTCTTGCGGGGGGGGGGCGGAGTACACTGATTTTTTTCACTCTTGTGCAGAAGCAAAAAATCTTGCAGTGTTGGCCTTTTTTTCATCAGAATGTCTAAATGTTTCCAGACACCCTTTTTCCATTGAGAAAATTTGCAAGTATTTATTACATCCTTATTTACTTGCTGTGATGTAAAAACAAGAAAGTGTGAAGCTGTTATATTCAAGTTAGAATTCAACACATGGAAATCTATGTTTATTTATGATGATATATTATTTTGTAATATGAGAGTATCTGAGTACTGTAATCAGTCTCTCCCCTCTATAGCCAGAGTTTTCGCTCAATACATATTTGCAAACTCTAACAGAATAGCTTTCAGCCATATATACAGAGTCTAAAATACAAACACTTCTGTGCCCATTCTCACATTACAAAATATATCCTTCATATAAGCATGTGTGTGTCAGCGTATCAAGCTGTACTGTGGGAAGTCAGCTTCAGAAGGAACCTCAATATTTGGAGAAGGGAGGCAAGTTATGTGAAACAGTTCTCCTTATCCTTACTCGCCCGCCCACCCACCCAGGGCATGCAGACATAAGATGTGTTTTTAGGGCTGTTTCAATTAGAGCATGGACACATTACTTTATGGGACTATCAGTTCCAGAATCCTCCAGCTGACATAGTCTGCTGGGGTTTTGGCAAGTTCTAGACCA